GGGGGGGGGGGGGGGGGGGAGGAGAGAGAAAGAGCGCATGGTTTCACCTCACGCCTTATTCTTCATTGTTTGCCAACAGAAAACCGTGCTGTCCAGCATCAAGACAGATGATGAGAACTTCACCGGCGAGGCGTACACCAGTCTGGCCATCATCTACGCCGTGTTCTCGATCTGCAACTGGCTAGCGCCGTCCTACATCTCGGTAACGGGGCCGCGGGTAGCGATACTCACCGGCGCCTGCTGCTACGTCCTCTTCATAGCGTCGTTCTTCTGGCCGAACGCCGGCCTGCTGTACAGCATGTCTGGCGTGGTGGGGATCGGCGCGGCGTTCATATGGACCGGCCACGGCCAATACCTGACGGAGAACAGCGACGTCGATACCATGTCCCGGAACGCCGGTCTATTTTGGGCGATCTTCCAGTCCTCCCAGTTCGCCGGCAACCTCCTCGTCTTCTTCGTCTTCGACACGGACAAGATCGACGCGACGCAACGGCGGACCGTCTTCAGCGTGCTCACCGGCCTGTCGCTGATCGGCGCCTTGGTGCTGGTCTTCCTGAGGAGGCCGCCGCAGAAGTCGTCGCTCGGCGAGGCCGAGGGTGTCTCCAGCGCGGACAAAGAGCTCCAGCTGCCCGAGCCGGTGCGGGAGAAGCCGCTGGTGGCTGCTTGGCAAGCGCTCGTGGACGCGCTGAAGCTCTTCCTGACGCCCCGGATGCTCATCCTGTCGCTCACGTTCATCTACACCGGCCTCGAGCTCACCTTCTACTCCGGCGTGTACTCCAACAGCATCGGCTTCACCAAGGCGATGGGCGACCAGCGCAAGAGACTCCTCGGGCTGTCCGGCATCTTCATCGGCGTCGGCGAGGTCGTCGGCGGCGCCGTCTTCGGCATCCTCGCCTCCAAGGTGTGCCGCAACTGCGGCGGCTCGCCGGTGGTGCTGACCGGCCTGGTCGTGCATCTGTTCGCCTTCATCAGCATCTTCCTGAACCTGCCGAACAACGCATCGTTGGGCGAGACGAGCGACACGGACCACGTAATGTCCTCGCCGATTCTCGCGATGGCCGGCAGTCTTGCGCTCGGCTTCGGCGACGCCTGCTACAACACGCAGATCTACTCGCTGCTGGGAGTCCTCTTCGCGAAGGAGAGCGCGCCGGCCTTCGCGCTCTTCAAGTTCTGCCAGTCCGTGGCCGCGGCCGTCAGCTTCTCCTACAGCACCAGCGCTGGACTGCACATACAGCTGCTGGTGTTACTCGTAACCATAATCCTGGGCACGATAGCCTTCTGCTACGTCGAGCGCACCGTGAAGAAGTCGAAGAACGAAAGCCAACCGGAGATCGATCCGTCGCTCGTCGAGCCCACGAGCGGCGAGGACTAACGAGTTCGTCGAGGTGCAGTAACACGCGGCAGGATCGTGCGCGAGTGAGATCTCCGGATCTGTGGACACTAGGAAATCACGCGAGAGATCTCCAAAGAGACGAGAACGCGCTGGCGGATCGCGGAACACGGGGAGAGCGTTGGAAGTGCAACAGCTAGGACCCGGGCGATACGAATCACCTGAATACCTGCAAAAGAAGTAGAGATCGATTATTTTTGTAAAGTTTTAGCCGTCGTAAACGAAGGTGCTCGCATCCTTCCGTAATCGTCCGGAATTTTCACAAGTCGATACAGACCTAGTTATGTAATTTATTATCCTTTTATTTACCAAATGTTCAATAAGGACAAATGATGTAACTAGATTTGCGTCTCTTGCTGGAAAGCAACCAATGTTACCATGCCTAGGGAATAGGACAGCATTAGTGGAAGTCTGCTGTACAACCGGCGTCATGTATGCTGACTATTTCCTGGATCGAAAATTACATGATTTTTAGTCTTATATATATAGATACGGTAAAAACTGTTATAATTAGAGCCAATATGTATCCTATCATTATAATTCGAGATATTTCTGTGATTTTCAACCTTATGGATTATATATATATAAGGCTGAAAATCGTATAATTTTCCGTTTAGGAAATGATACGGTATGTGCATAACATCGACCAAGATGCAAAAGAATTCTTATCACGCAATACCGTAGAAATGAATATTATAATCAGGGATGTTACCATAAAATATCGATATCAATATTGAAACGGGTATCTAATAAAAAGTATCGATATAATTAGTGATACCAGTATCAGAACAAAAATATACCGATACTGATACTAGTATTGAAAATATTTAAAATTAGAAGAAATATAAAAATTAGGAAAGAAAATTTTGTCTTGCAAACTATTTTTATAAGAGAGAAATTTTTATAAGAGAGAGAATTTCATATGTCTACACAAAATAATCATACTATAGTATAAAAATACTTTTACCTTCCGCAGACTTTCTATTTGTGATCTAAAAACCTTAAAAAGGATGTGTTAAGGCTCATGTGTCCTCGCTATGACTGTCATTGCTTGATGACGTCAGAAACAAGAAAAATCGTTTAAAACGTAAGCTGCATGTCGCACTAATTTTCATGAAGCAAAAATACATGATATCTTGATATCCACGAAGTAAAAAATGAAAAAAAAAATCAAATAATGCACAGATATGGAGAATATTGGAAGGAAATATCGAATATAAATATACTCGGTATTAAAAGAATCATATCGATGCCAATATTATATCAGTAGTATCGCAACATCCCTATTTATAATACATTCATAAGACACGGAGAAATTAATTACAGTACAAAATCCACTTCTACTTTGATTTGCAACTCAGGGCAACCGTGTTTTAAGCTGTTCTCTCCTCTGGAGCAGTGCTTCTCTCTTCAGAAAATGTAAATACGCGAATATACCAAACGCGCGCGCATACATTTTAATTGTTTTTTCTCATCGGCGTGAACATTTTCACTGTAAAGTGCCAGTGTTGCGCCGTTTACGCGAAGTTGGGGAACACCGCCTGAGAGTCGATCCGGTGTGACTGCTCATTCGGTCGTTAGATCTGCAGGATTTAACGACGATCAATCGATTGTCTGTTTCGCGCAAGAAACGCCGCGATGACGGACGAGTGTCCGTTGCGGATTCCCGTTTCATACTTGGTAAGTTCCGTCGGTCGCGAGACCGGCTCTACTAGCGGCGGGTGCGATCCTCGTTCTTCCATCCTTGCAACGCACTGCGATTTTTTTCACGTCGTTACTCGTATTTAGCTAGTCTGTAACGCAAGTCCGCCACAGGATTCGTGTTTAACTAGTCCGTGATACACAGTGCACCGGTCTTACGGTACTGATCGCGTGTGTGCGTGCGTCGATGAGCGGGTAAATGGGTGAATCGGGTAGGTGACACGCACGCACATTCACGCAGACGACATTTACAGCGCGAGGCTCGGTCGAATTATTCGAGATCAGGCGAAAGATTGTGTTCCTTTGATGTTTGCCACGGGCGTCGTGACGAACGCGTAGTTTAACCGCGTATGCACACAGGATGTGTTGAAAGTCGGGCGATCGGCGAATCCGCCGAGTCGGTCTGTCCCTCGTCGAGAGTTGTAAACACAGTTGTACAATGTAAACGAATGCAAGATTAGTGGTAAAATGTAAGATCTCCAACTGAATCGGAAAGTGCAAAATGCAGAACAACTAAAGATTTCAGATGACAAAATACTGCAAAAATCTCACCTCATGCTAACACTTTGAAGCTGATTTTTTTTTTATACATGCATCAGACGTCTAACTGAAAGTCTGACGCAACAATTATCCACTCGAAATCGTCACGAGGAATATGAGTGCGATATCTATTTGCATAATCGATGAGACAAGCGTAATACTCTGCGCTTATCACGAGTATCCAGGAGTCTTAAAAAATCGCGCGACTTTTGAGACATCCCTATACATTGTACACAAATTCCCGCACATTTCATCATATATTCTAACTTCGTCATATGGATACGTATTAGATAAATTTTGTGCATTTAGTATTCGTAGGCAGTGGATCGAACATACGATTACGAGAATGTTAACGATGATCGAGTATTCCCCTGACAATCAAAATTATATTCAGGAACGAATATGTACGAGATGCCGACCCTTTATGAGTGGGATTTTTAAGTGTTCCTGCCTGTGTGATCTTTGTAAAGAGAAAAGGTCTTCACACATCTTTCGTAGCTCCTTACACAAGCGTATACATATTATATATTCTATTGCATTTCACATGATACATGTACGATATATGTACGTGCTGCAGAATTTTTTTCTTTACGTAGAAGTATACCGCTCCTTGGACATGTACCTGATAGAGAACGATTGTAATCTATTTCGAAAGAATGTACACAATTCCCCTCGAACACGAGAGTGATCAATCGAGAATGATCATTATTATTTTTATCGTCAAATAGAGTCTATGAACGAAATTTTATGAAATATATATATATATATATATAAAATATATATATGTATAAAAAAATATATATGTATATATACGTATATGTGTATATATACAAATTTATCAGTAATATCGATAATAATACGATATAATGTACATACGAAATCAGTGAACAATGTTATTGATGATGATGATTGTTGTTGGTATAAATATATTTTTAATTAATTGTACCGTCGTACCTCTCAGTGTCCCGATTCCCGTGACTGTCTTTAAAAAAAGATACATGTACGTCTTTGACTTATAAAAATCTTAGAGAAACATGTAGGATGACATAAAGAAGAATGTATGGTCGCTGTAAGCTTTCATCTAATCTTGATTGCTGAATAATTTTCCGAGTGACCTATTCGTGCATTCTTTCTGTCAATCTGACTTTCAACGTGATGCAAAACATCTAACGCAGATATTGCTATATCCAGGTCTCGAGGTAAAGGTTTTCAGAAATCGCTGAAGATAGAACTATTGAGAAATCATGATGCAATATTTATATTAATCTCACATATAAACAATTAATTCTATAATGTAAACGCTTTATTCATTAGCTCACCCACATATATTTATTGTCCATTTACTATCGCTTATCGAGCGATTTATATTCTAACGCCGTTAATTCACAACTGATCGTTTCTACTAATCGTCGAGTTGGCAAAGGGCAGCGACACCTCTGATGATCCAATGCGACTCATCCAGATCCGTCGGCAGTAGAATGTACATTATAAAGTTGGACGAGTGGCCGGTGGTGGCCAAGACGCCACGTCTGGCGCTCGTTTTGTACACCGGGCAATAGTAGACGTCTTTTATGACGAATTCTGCTTTCACGCCAGGTTTCAGCCATAAAATAGGCAGCACGTCGAACATTACCTTAGGCTTGGACTCGTCCAATAACATTTTCTCTCTGTTCCAGCGAGCTCCCTCGAGGAAGAGACCCTGAAGAGAAAATGGATTGAATGGAATAACAGTAGAACCGAAGATAAGCCAGGGACGTAACATCGTAGAATATGAGCTCGCGTACAGTAACGTAGACTCCGTAAGAAGGGGCCTCCTCGACGCTCGACTCGAACTGCGTGACCTCGAACTGAAAGTCCAGGTGATCGATCGGGATCTTGTGTAAGCGAGCGTAATTTTGCAGCACCGCGGTGAGAAACGACTGGGTGAAGAAGAAGCCGGATATCCAAAAGACGTTCGGTGCGTCGTGCTCGATCCAGTCGTCCAAGAACTGCAGCCTCGCCAACAGGTCGTTCACGTAGCTGCCAAGCGGCTTCAGGGACGGGTATGATTTCCTGTCCCAAGCCCGCGGCACCTTACCCACGCTCATGCTAACGTAAACCTCCTCCAGTACCGCTGACATGAGAACTTGCCCCTTGATCGCCTTCTGCACGTTGCTCAACGTGTCCTTGATGGTCCTGGTGAGGTCGTTGAACTTCACCAGCTCTTGGCACAGCACTGTGTTCATGCTGTTCATGTAGAGAATCGGGTACTTCTTCGACACCGCTTTCACGTCGAACTCGGCCGGTATCTTCGACAGAATATCAGCGGCCAGCGCGGAAACCACCTCGTCCATGTCCTTTACGACACCTGGTGAGGAGCCCGAAAGAAAGATTCCGTGGATTCTAATGGCACTACCATTTCACCGAAGAAACAGAAGAGAAGAGAACGCGAAAGAAGTGGACACCGTCTGTCTACTCGCCTACTCCGCTGATCTGCGGCTGAGTCTGGAGCACGCTGCCCAACAGTTGCATCGCTTCCCGATTGTCCTTCGTTATGTCCGCATTGTCGTGCAAACCGTAAACCTCCGGCAGCTGATTGATCGGTAAACTACGAATGTACACCAGGCAGCCCTCGTAATCGATGTCATCCGCCAGGTGGTAAATTCCACTCGGTGAGAAGCAGTATCTGTGTGGTCAAGCGAGTGCGAAAGATAAGACTTCTTCACTTCATTCTTCAAGTTTAATTTTCGTCGGAGAAAAATTGAGCCAGCCGAGTAATTCAGTTTCTGAATTTCCGAGGGTTGCTTCATGCGATCAATTAAACGGAACGCGCGTTCTTACCGTGGATTTTCGATGACTTGGGGGTTGTAGAAATTCTTCAGCAACGCGTTCAGTAAGCGTCTGTCCTTATCGTCGGTCACTCGGCCGCCATAGTTGCATTCTCCCGTCAGGTATATGAGCGCTTCAAACGGTACTTCGTCGTAGTCGTTTAGGAACAACTGGAGCAACGAGAGAGAGAGTGTTTCGTAAGGATTCGCATTTCATAACGAAGATCATGGAAAAACAGTAAGCAGTAAGAAAATTGATTAATTATAATCGATTATTCTTCGATCGTAAGAAGACTAATTGACCATAATAGGTCAGTTTTTCTTCTTTGGTCTTACGGTTTGCGTTTTTGTGACCCTACAGAAAAATATACGGAAAAAGTTTTCTTTGGAGAGTATACTATAGTTTGACTTAATACATAAACAATTTAATATTAAATATATCATTTTGTTTGAATAAAAATGTTGTTTCACTGTTAACTAAATCGTGTTATTTGATATAAGAAAACAGTATTATTTAGAGAAAATATCTGATTTCTAACTAAAAAAAAAAAAAAAGAAATTTACTTCATTACACATTGAATATTGTCCAACTGAAACAAAGAAGTTGTGCAACATTTTTCTAACACAGTGTTATACTTCCTTCGAATAATTTATCGTTTGTAGCAACCAGGTGCAAGGTTTGGATGAAAATATAAAAGAAATGTGTTATTCGACGCAAAGGTATTCATTATATATGAAGCCAAACGTTCGTTCGCTCCGTTCGAAAAGGCGAGTTTGTTTCAATCGAAGAAATCCTTCCTTTCATTAAATCCAACGAGATCTTTTTCTCCGTGCGTAACATCTCGGGCGAAGATCGTTTGATCGTACTTGCAGCTGCAGGATACTGATGCGCAGGTCGGACTCGTTGAACTCGTAGGGTATGTTCCACCCGAGCGGGCCGAAGTTCCGCCTTTCTTGCACGACCGCGTGGAAAAAACACAGGGAGAAGAGCAAGTGACGCCACTCGACCACCTTCGTACACTCGCGGAAGAACTTGGGATCCGACACGGGATCGTTGAGGTAGCTGCGCAGCAGGTTGCTCCTCAGACCCTTCGGCGGCTCGTTCGTCATCTTGACGCCGTTCTGCAGTATGGACACCGGGAAGCCGGCGGACGGGTAGCTGGTCAGCCAGATGCGGAATTCCGGGTGCGTCTTCTCAGGCACGATTATCTCGTCGCATATCTTGTCGAGCTCCTTCATCCATGACACGGCGAGGTGGCAGTTCTGCAGGATCACCCACTCGCCGCTCTTGATGCCACGCTCGATCATGCCGGACGCGATCGGCCCCTGACCTTGACCCAGCGATATCGTCATCAGATTCTTCTTCGAGATCCCACGGTCCTCGGCGAACTTGATCAGGCCGGCCATCGGGTCCGAGCCCGGCGAGAGCACGAAGATGAGGGGAGTTACGTTGCTCGAGTCGTCGTACGAGCTCTGAAGGTCGAACGGCGGCGGTTCCACGAAGAACCGACCCAAGTGGTGTATGACGAACGTCTGGACGGCGACGACCAGCTTGTCCATCCTCACGCACCTCAGGATCACCAGCCTCCTCAGACTGCCGTCGTCCTCGTCCCGGAACGGCGCCGGTAACGGATAGTCCTGCGGATTCGACAGGTCGTAGTACTCCTGCCACTGCGATATGTTGGATTGGAAGGACTCCCTAAGCGGTTTCAGGCCCGGCAAGAGGCTGGCTCTCACGAGCTCCGACCAGGATTTCTCAGTCAACCAGGAAGGATCGGGATTCGGGTAAGGATTGTCCAGAGCGACTCCCCCCGTCAGCAGGAACACCCAGAGGTCCTCCTCTAACTTGCGAGAGGCACGCAGCAGACCGGCGCAGAGTACGAAGGAAAAGATCAGCTTGTCCTTCTCGAACAAGGAGCGACACACGTTCCTGTAGATGCTCGCCGTGAAGTACGAGTTGAGGTTGTCCATACGTATGTCCAGGTTGTCGGACCTCTCGCTGTGGGCCACCGCCATGACGTAGAGGTGCAGGAACCAGGGCAGGGAATACTGGTACATGGGATCGATGTTGGCCAACTCGGAGATGCAGAAGAAGAGGACGGCGCCGTGCTTCGACACGGGCACGTAGCCGTTGCGAGCTTTGTCTATCTCCTCCGACGTAGTGATCGCGATCTCTTGCTTCGCCTGAATGTCCTCCGACATGATCTTCGACGTCGAGAGTATCTTGATGGCGGTCTCGTCCTCCAGGATGTTGCCCTCCGACGCCGAGAGCACCTTCAAGATCTGGTCCTCGAGCTCCTTCAGTATCCGTCTGTTGTTCGCGCCCTCCACTATCAGCTGGTTCTTCTTCTCCTCGAGTACCGGCAGCTCCTTCGCCACGACGATGCCCAGCAGCTGATCCTGCAGGCCCTGCGGCGTGATCATGAAGTTCAACAGAGTCACCTTCACCGCCACCTCCGGCAAGTAGTGCGGATTTCTCAGCCGCGTGGTGATGTAAAAGCGGAAGTTCGGGTTGTACTCCAACACGACCTCGCCGAACTTCATGTAGAGCACCCCTTGCTTCTTGTACACGTTCTTCAGCAGCACCGGCTCCAACAGCGCGTCGATCTCCTCGGCGATGTTCTCCAGCAGCACCGGCGTGCCGAGCTGCAGGCTCATCTCTATCGCTCTCGCGTAATTCGCATCGGTGAGCTTGATCACAATCAGGCCGTTCTGCTTCTCCATGTTCTTCACCCACTTGTTCGCCTGGTTCTGCGGGTCTATCATCAGCGGCCACCGGTCGGCGTTCTTCACGATTATCCCGTTCTCCACGGAGAAGTTATCGGCCGGCAAGCCCATGATGTTCCAGTTTCTGATCTCCACCGCGTCGCCCAATATCTCGACCAAGCTGAACTTGCCGCAGCACGGTATCGCTGCGCGGATGCAGGCCGCGTGCCACTCGCTGATCAGGTTGTTCCTGTACTCGATGGTGAACGCACCGAGATAAGCCACTATGCCGGACGACAGCAGGACGTCGCCGATCACGTTACCCAGGCTGGCGCCCAGATTGCGAGCCGTCTCGCTCCACCTGACCTTCTCGCCGCTGAGGCCGCTCAACAGTTTCTCCGCTCTCTCCAGCTTCTGCCTGCAGTAGTCGATCTGGTCCTCGAGTTTCTTCTTCTCCCTCATGCACTCGGCGAACTCGTCGTTCAGGGACTGCAGCTTCTGCGACACCTCCTGCAGGAGGTTCCGCTTCGCGTTGAGCGTCTCCATCTGCAAGGCCAACGCGGCCTCCGCCTCCGCCAGCATCGCCTTCTTCGGCGCGACCACCTTGATCACGCGGTCGTACACTTCCATCGCGCGCACCCACTTGCACAGACCCTCGCAGGCGGCCGAGACCTTCTTGATCACATCCGGCTGGAAGCTCCTGTCGTTGATGAAGCGGTCGCGTATGCGCTTCATGTAAGCGGCCGGTATGTTGTCCTTGTCGAAGTTCCTCAGGTGCTCCAGGAACTTCATGTCAGCCAACAGCTTGACGGACGCGGGCCAATAGTCGTCCACCGTCTGCCCGGTGGCGGGGTCCAGCACTTTGTCCGGCTTCACGCCCTTCAGCACGCACACCGCCTCCATGACCAGCCGCACGCCGGCCGGCGGCGCCTTCATCGCCTTCACGATCGTGATGTCGGCCGGCTTGAGCGTGTCCAGGGCCGCCACGGCGGCTTCCAACGCCGGCGTCGCTTCCGCCAGGTCGCTCTCACAGTCGTCCTTGATGGCCTGCGCCGCGGCCGCCGCCTCGTTCGCCAGCGCCTCGTCCGCCGCTACGATCTCCTTCTTCGCCTCCACGTTCACCGTGTCCTGCTCGATCCTGATCATCAGCTTGTCGCTCAGCTGCGACTGCGCCAACAACTTCGGCTGCAACTCCTGCAGCTCGTCCTGCATTACCGACACCTGGCTAGCCGCGAAGTCCAGCCTCTCCAGCCCGGTCTCGTAGCGGTTCTGCTGCATCGTGATCTGCTCGATCTTCTGCCCGTAGAGCCTGTAGAGACTCTTGATCAGCTGCAGGAAGCTCGTCGGGGTGACGTAGTACCGTCTGCCGTACGTCGAATAGTACTCCTCGCTCGCCACCGACACGCTCGTGTGGAACTGCTTGCATATGTGCACGCACTTTTCCCGCAGCTCGGGCCCGATGTCGAGGTCCTGCAGCGAGATCCTGGCTACCTTCTCGAGGGCGTCCTCCGGCCACAGCGTGTACCAGTCGATGGTGCAGCAGTTGATCAACGACGGGAACATCCTGAGCCGGTTGCGGAAAGCGTCGCCGATCGGCGACATCGTCAGTACGATGTGCAGGTACTTCTTGATACGGTCGATGAAGAGGTTGTAGAGCGCCATCGGCGTCGTCTCCATCTTCCGACCGCTCGGATCGCGCGCTATCGCCGTCATCTTGTCCTGTATCTCCGCCTTCTCCTCCAACGCGTACAGGTTCGGCACGTCCGCGGTGTTCAGCACCATATTGATGTCCTCGATGAAGGACTCGTCCTTGATCTGATGGTCGTTGAAGAGGAAAACCGTCGGCTTGCCGTCGCAACCGACGCGCAACAGCAAGCGCTTCAGGTCCTCCCGCCACTCCGTCGGCCCGTACGTCCTCGTGATCTCGATCTGGTGTATCAGGTACTCGCACATGCTGGTCGCCAGGCGGGCGCAGGAGTTGCGCCCCGAGCCGCCTATCCCGACGAGCAGCGCGTGGCCCTTGTCCTGCAGCAGCACCCGGGACACGCGGGACACGTGCTCGATGGCGTACCTGAAGAGCACCAGGTTCATCGGCGTCTGCGAGATCGCGTTGTACTCGTCCAGGTAGTACTCCATCTTCTCCTGGAGGTCCTCCAGGTCCGTCACCTCGTCGTAGATCTTCGGGTCGGCGTCGGGCTCGATGTAATTGCCGAAGAAGAGGTCCCGGATGTGCGAACTCGTGAGCGCCTTCTCGCCTGGCTTCAGGAGATCGGCGAGCACCTTGTCCAACGGCTGACGCAGCTGATCGTAGCACGTGTGCCGCACCATCCTGAACAGAGTCTCGCGATCGGCGTCGTCTATCAGCCGGTCGTGGAACACCCTGTACACCTCGTGCACCCACAACCTGATGAGCTTGTCGGGGTCCCTCATCCTGGCGGCGGGCACCAGCAGCACGCCCATGATGACGCGGCTGAAGTCGCGCAGATTGAAGGTGTAATGGCTCCTGGACGGTGTCGGCAGGAAATTTTGAATGGCCGCGAGGAACACGTTCATGGTGGCGTCCACTACCATCTTGCCCAGCCTGGAGACCTCGGTGACGAAGCCCTTGGCGAAGTGCCACTCGAGGATCGACGAGAAGATCTTCTTCATCGTGGTCTCCTCGAAGGAGTCGATGCCGATCACGTTCATGTGGCGGATCAATCGGGGCGTCACGACGTTCGAGCCGCCGCCCGGCGGTATCATGGCGGCGATCATCAGGATGTCCGCTAAGTACAGCATCGAGGTGTCCTTCGGGTCGAACCAGTAGCCGTGATCTATCCATTGGCGCAGCAGCTCTATCGGCGGCTGGGCGCCGTAGATCTCCACTTGCGGCAAGCTGAGGTCGTCCACGAACAGCACGCACTTCTTCCCCATCGCCGGGCCGTAGACACCTTTCCTCCTGCGGTCCAACTTGGACATGACCATCTCCTGCGTCAGCGTCGCGCTCGTGCGAGCGCTGAAGTTCACGACGTTCTCCATGAACTTTTCTTTGGGCAACGACATGAGGTGGTTGAGCACGATCGCGGACTTGCCAGTGCCCGTCGGACCCACGAACAGGATCGGCACCGCTCTGTGCAGGAATTGCTTTATGAAGAAGTTCTGAATGGACATCTCCGTCGTCTGGATGATCAGCTCGCTGGCTTTCGCCGTTGCCGGTAAGGCTGCCTGCGCAGGTTCATTGAGTTTACGATCTAAATTGGCGAATTGTGGCTTTTTCAAGAGGGGGTTTGAATAAAAAACAATGTCAAAAATAGTGAGGAGGTGAGTTTCTTTTTTTGGAAACGTGAGAAAACGGTGAGTAGATCTTAAAAAAATATGAGTAAAGAGTGAGTCTTTTTCAAATGATTTGTACGTTAAAAATTCAATTGTTTATCTATTATACCATCCCCCTAAAAGATTAAAAACACTGGCCTTATAGTGAAGGTCAATGAGGAGGAAAATTTGAACTTCGGGAAACAAATGAGAGGAAAGTAACGTGAGAAATAAAATCTAAAATTTACCTTAAAAGCTCAATTGAGAAATTTTTTTCTTTTAAAGGTGAAAAATAGGCGAGGAATACTGTTTTTTTTTTCTTTTTTGCTCAAATATATTTTTTATCAATCATTTATCATTATTCCTTTTTATTATTTTATTTATATTCTTTATATCTATTTAGATTATTTCTATCAAATAATAATAATTCTTCCATTAATTCCGCTTGTGACATCTACCCTTTTAACGGTAACTAAAATAACATTGGGCTTCATGATTGCGTAGCGTTCAAAAATACACGTGCAAGAATGAAACTATCGATTTTCCCTCGAATTTTATCATATATTGAAAACATTATCTCTCTCTCTCTCTCTCTCTCTTTTTCCCATCTTCTCAATACCTGCTGTACAGTGTCCATCCAAGATATCCAAGATCCATTGTTCCTCTTATCGTAGATCCAATCGTACACCGTGCCTTTGTCGGGAAAGAGTTGCTGCTTCGTCAGTTTGAACGCCTTCGGCTTCGGTTGCTCCTCGATATTACCGAGCAACAGTTGCCGCAAATACGTATCGAAGGTTTTCCTGCTCTCGCCCGTTAAAGTTGAGCACATGCCCCATATCATGCTGAAGATTAACACGCACTGCAGCCACACCGTGCTCACCTGCGTCTCCTCCGCCAACATCATGCTGAACACTTTCGTGAAGGACTGTTGCAGAAACATTAAATTAACACAACGAACTTGACGCTTCTCCGTTAAATCGCAGTCTGAACCATTGCATTTTTTTTTTCAAGTACAAAGGGAAGTGAAAAACTCCCCTTAGAATAAAGCGTGCAGGAGTCGATGGCGAGATGCTGACTAACGAATAAATTGATCCGGATGTGATGAAACTCTCACACCAACTTAAATATCGCATCATTTCTAAATCTGTCTCAAAAAATGTCCGTATGAAATTTCGAACTAAATCGAACGAAACGGATGCAAACGGCCGGATTTTTCACTACGCCCACCAGAAACATGTGATTCTCCGACATGGCGACGAAGGTCTTGCAATAGTAATGGATAAAATGGAAGATCGGATCGGTGAGCCACTCGACCAGTTCCACGACGAGGTCGAACTGCTCGATCAGCAGTTTCTCCTTCAGGCGCTTCTTGTAGGACTGGAAGAGAGGCGGCCAGCCTAACTGCGACGGCTCCATGTAGATCATGCCGCACCTGCTGACGGTGGCCGGCGAGGCGTGCTCGAGGTCGGCCGGCTCGAACATCATGTTCATCTTGGCGGACATCTGCACGATCTCACCCGACATCAGGCAGAGCTTCTTGTTGTCGTCCAACACGGTGTTCATGCTCTCGATCCAGACCGCGTCGACGGGGCCGTCGAACACGATCCACTTGCGGTCCAATGACATCGACTGCGCGAACTCACGGAAGGTCTTGGCTAGCACGCCGTCGCTCCACTCGTGGGACACCGGGTCGAAGCAGCCGTACAACTGGTCCAAGGTGATGGCCTTGGGGTTGATCACACGGTAGGTCGTGCGGAACTCCCGCACGGTGGCTTTCCGTCTGGTCGACAGTTCCCCCAAGGAATCGGCCAACACTTGGTAAGCCTGGGTCTTGCCGGCCAAGGTCCCGCCGACCAGCATCAGCCCGTGTCGCACCAGTATCATCTCGTATACCTGGACGATCTTCTCCACGTACCACGGGGTGGCCTGCAGATTCCGCTTCTCCAGATTCGCCTTGAGGAGCTCCACGAGATCGCCGCGATCCGGCTGCGGCAGGTCCACGCCCGGGAAGAGATCCGTGTAGATGCCGGTGAAGAGGTAGACGTCCTGGGCCAGGAACTTGGGCAGGTTCACGTCGACGGTCGCGCGCAGTACCAGCGTGGACTCGTCACGTTCCGGGTACTTCAGCTTCAGATTGCCGGCGGCTATCAGCACCGTCTTCACGGCTCGCATCCCGTAGTCGTAGTGGTTCTGCGAGCTCAGCTGCTCCGAGCACAGCTTGTACGTGTGGACGATCTTCTGCGCGAGGTTCTTCGCGTCGACGAAGCCGTACGAGTAGAGGGAGATCTCCCCGATCATCGCGTAATCCGGCACCATCATCGCCACCGTGCGGAAGAGCACCTTGAGATTGTCCGGCAGCTCTTGCCGGCCGGCGTAACCCGGGTTCATCGTGATGATCACGTTGCAAGTGGGATTCAGCTTCAACTCGGTGCCCTCGAACAGGAACTTCTCCAGCTTCATGCCGATGGCCATCTGGATCGAGAGTATCTGCTGGGCGATCACGGACAGCACCTCCAACTCGATCCTGTTGAACTCGTCGAAGCAGGCCCATGCGCCGGACTGTGCGACGCCCTTGAAGAACTTGCCCATCGCCTTGTAATCAAGCCCGTCGGAGCAGTTGAAGACCACGCACTGCTTCGCCACCGCTTTCGCGAGATCCTTCGACGTCTCCGTTTTGCCGGTACCGGCCGGTCCTTCCGGCGCGCCGCCCAGGTTCAGCTTGAACGCGCCCATCAGGGTTCTGTAGCAGCGGTCGGTCAGGGGCGTGATCACCAAGCGGGGCGTGTTGCCGAGATACTCGAAGGCGTACAAGATGTCGGTCGTGATCATGGAGACGGTGATGCGGTCGTCTATCCAGTAGTAACGGAGCTGCGCGATCCAGTTGAAGTCTAAAGGCTCGCTCACGTGCAAGTCGACCAGCAGCTTCACCACGTCCCTGGCGTGCACGTCCATCACTATCAGGGCGTTCAGCGTGATCCTGGCGCCGCGGTCGAGCTTGCCGCGCACGAGGTCCACGATATGCTGTATCTGCTCGCTGCACTTGTACAGGTAGGCCCGGGTGCTGCGATCGTCGAAGGACTCGTACACCTCGCTGGTCCAGTGCACCTGACTGCTGCAGATGACCATCTGGCCGGGCCAGGAGAGCACCCATTCCTCGCGCTCATCCGTGAAGTAAGCGAGGATGCTCTCCTCGGCGATGTCGCGCATCGAGATCAGCATGAGCTCCTCCACCTGGCTCAGCCATCGCTCCACCATGCCCTTCGCGTCCGCCGGGTAGATCTTGCCGCTCAGCGGCACATACTCCTCCTCCTCCGACAGCATGCCGATTATCTCCTCGTCCTTCGTGAAGCGCAACCTGCTGATACCCTCGAAGCACTTCCGTAGGTGCGGCTGCACCCGCTGCGGGTCCTTCGTCTCCGACAGGATCTCCAGCAGCTCGTCGTTCGACAGGAAGAACAGCCGCGGGAAGAACAGCCGCTTCTTCTCCAGGTACTCGTTCAGACCCTTCTGGATCTCGTCGAGCAGCCTGTTGCACGTCCTGAACTCCTCCAGCATGTTCGGGTAGGCGGTGGCCTCGAGCACACGCCTGTTGCTCGCGACGTGCGCCATGATGCGCCGCCACGTCTTGTCGATCTGCCGGAAGTCCCGCGCCTCGGTCGGCATCTGCCGCATTATGTCCTCGCTGCTGAATATCGGCTCGAGGTACATCCACGTGGCCTGGCAGAGCAACCACTGGTCGACGATGTCCTGCATCATGATCAGCTTCTCCTCCCACTGCTGCATCTCCCGCTCGAACGCCTTGACGAATGGGGAACTCCTCATGGTCTGGGCCTTCAGTACGTGGTCGTCCAGCAGCGTCTGTATGTCGTCGACACCCGTCAATATCAACACCCCGGTCTCACGGTACGGTATCAGCTCGAAGTACACTTCCATCCACTCCTCCTTCATCCTCTGCAGGCTCCTTTGCAGAGCGTACTCCTTCGTCGCCGCAGAGGAGATCTCCTCCAGCCTGACGATGTGAACGATCAGGCCGCACTCGATCATGTCCGACAGGGAGGTGGTGTCCGTCGGCATTATCGGCATGTCGACGATTTCGCTGATAGCCTGCCAGTGTCGCGCCTGCAGACCCGGTGTGCAGATGATCTGCAGCAGAGGCAGGAACTGAGTGAACTTCTCCACCTTGCCGCGCACCATCTCGGCAACCCGCCTCGCGCCCGGCACATCCGCGAGTATGCGGGACATCTTGTAGAGCGCCCGCCAGGTCTCCTCGGTCTCCTCGCGCACTTTCTCGGCGTTCAGGCCCAGGAAGGGCCCGTAATACCACAGATCGTAATTCCGATGGAAGCCCAGAGCGGTGTGCCAGAGCCTGTCGAAGATGTCCACCGTGGAGGACATCACCGGCAGCTCCAGGTACGGGCTCAGCTCTATGTCCAACAGGGTCTCCTCCGTGTTGATCTCCTCGGCCTCCTTGCGGATGGCCGTCATGGTCTTGGAGATCTCCTCGATCTCATCGACGGCCTGCTCCATCTCCTCCATCGTGAGGACCGGCGGGTCCTTCCGCTTGAACTGCTCGATGGCCTGCTGCAGCGCGATTATCTTCTTGTCGAAATAGTCGCGTCGCGTACGCAACACCGACTCCGAGAAGTCCCTTCTCATGAGCAACCTCTTGCTCGCCAGCTCCATTATGACGTCCATCTCCTTCGGCCAGGTGATGGCGCGCGCGTTCAAGTACAGGTCCTCGTCCGAGGGCGGCTGGTAATCGAAGAGGAACAACGTCAGCTCGATCGAGCGGGCCAGGCGTCTCTTCAGATTGAACATGGTCGTGTCGCGACTCTCGCATAGGTAGTTGTACAACTCGACGACGTCCTGCGTTGTTTCCGGCATCCTCGAGATCTTCTCCGCGATCTCGTCGAAGTTGGAGCACAGGTCCCGGTTGTTGGACCGCAGCTCGTCCGCGAAGAAGTCGCATATTCTGCTACGAAGCGTGAGCAGCACCGACCTCATCGTCTCGTTTACGACGCTGCAATCTATCTCGATCATGTTTAGAGGAATCTGCATTGAGGATGTGTCGTCCGTTAGGGAAAATAGTTATCTGCATATATATGAAATAACGAGTTCGGCCGGGTGATAACGGACGTGCTTTTAGACTAATAGTTGCGGGAAACCACTCATTCTTTCTCGGCGAACTCTTCGAACTCACCTTACATCGAAACATAGAAATCTCCCTTCGCAAAGCGTCGTACGCTTTTATCTGCTGCTCGAACTCGCGCAGAAACGGTGGCGGCTCGATCGAGAAGAAATGGTCTAATTTCTCCTTGGCTACACCGCTCGTGATGTACAATAAGTCCGTGTAGCACTTGAGGTAACTATCAGCGCCGGTCATGTGTTTGATGATCACGTCCGACACGTCGCTAATTATTTTCAATACCTGTAATAACGTGACGAAAAGACGGCCGGTTACTTTATAGAATGACATCGCTCGAGCGATGCAGTTCTTTCAGTGTTTTTACTTCATTTTACCGTGCTTTCGTATCGCGAAAGGGAGAACAGACGGCCGACCGGCTGGTCCAGTTCTGGAAACAGGATGGCCTCGATATTGGGAATCGTAGCGCCCACCTTGATGATCTTGTCGAAACACCGCGAAATCGTAGTGTGCAATTCGAAGATGTTCGGTCTGCAGTGCAAGTTCGTCGTGCCGAGTTCCGGCTCCACTTTCACTGTTATGAAAGGAGTTCTACAATGTAATTCGCACTGTTTTTCCACTGATCTCACCATTGTATAGTTTCGTCAATATGTATATAAAATCATTAATGTAACGTTACGACATTGTTTGTTTGTTTTTTTTTCGAAACTTCGTATGTACAAGAAAATTAATTGGGATAAAACTGATTCTAGATTTCGCAACTTGATCTAAGAAGAGGGACAACCGTCGATTCTTACTCGAGGAACATGAGATCCTCGTAATCCCCTTCGAACGCGTTGCCGGCCTTGAAGCGTATGAAGAACCTTCTCACGTCCTCCAGCGTTTCCAATATCATGACTCGCAATTGCCTCGACAGGAGGGAATTCACGCTGCGAAAGAACTTCTCGACCCAGGCGGTGGACGCGTTGGGATGCACGTCGAAGTACCGCGACCAGATGTGCTTTTTCCCCAAAAATATATCCGCCACGTCGGCCAACCACTCTTTGACGAGGAAGTCGGTGGCGGCTACGCACAAGGCATTCAGTTTCGGCTCGATTTCGGCGGCCGGCACGGGAAACGTGCCGAAATCTTGCATGCGAATTATTCTCACTCCACGGTACCTAAAGTAAAAGATTGCACGTCAATTCAGGTGATTCAAAGAGCCACAACGATCATTCATCATCTCATTCATCATTAGGTGCTTTTCATTTAATGACACAAGTGTCATTTTGCCTTTGTTCTATTCAATGAGTAACAAAAATAAGACGATGTTTGTGTGTCGATTAATTTCTACTAACATGATTGAAATCTAATCGACGATTAACCGCAATCGGAATCGACCGATCACATTGATCAGTTCAGCTAATCGGCCAATGCGATTGGTCGATCCGTCGAGTTAATCGCCGATTAGATTTAAATCATGCTGGTAGAAACGAGCATAAATGTAAAGCATCCATCAATCATTCGTATTGGTTGGTCGCAAGGTCTTACTTCAGAAACCACAAGTCACGGATGTCCCTCAAGATTTCATTGCTGATGAAAAGACCGTGTTGCATCAGGTGGTCCGCTGTGACCTTGGACTGATGCCAAGGTACCGGCGCGCGGATGCACAGAAGGGGGAACTCGATGGGCGGCGTTTCAACGGACAAACGCCTCCGCTCGTCGGGATCCTTCAAAATATAATCCACTATGGCGGAACGCAGACCCTGCTTGTAGTTACTTATTATTTCCAGCTCCGCTACTTTCATTATCTCATCGAAACTGTAATACACATACTGCTGATTAACAAAGGCCTCCTGTGAATTCATCGCAATCGACGAGACAGCTTAAAGTGTATAAATGAGTGCGTGAATAATCTAAAGGATATTGCTTCCAAAGGATATTTTTGCGAAACTGACTTCGCGAAATCTTAACTCACTCTTCGCGTTTTCGCAGTTTAGCAGCGATAAGCTTCTTCGCCGCCTCGATATCAGCGTATTCGTACGGCTGCAATTGGCCATCGCTAATGTAGTGATCCCTAAGATAACGAATTTTCGCAACATCGTCAGGCTTAACTCGCTTCTGTTCCTCATCAACCATCGCCATCCACTCAGCCAATTGTTCTTCCACAGATCTTGGAATCTCTGCTTCGACGTAGCGCACAATCTGCAATATGTAACATCAATGAAAGTATGTATATAATAATTATTCCAAGAATTTGATTACATTGTGATCATATTAATTGATCTATTCTTAAATTATCAGACATATTCACATCAGTTATTCAAGAATTAACTATACTATGTGTTTGTAACTTTTCCGTTTACCTTTCGGACCTTCGTCGTCCTCTTCTTCTTGGCTCTTGCCTCAGCGAGCATCTCTTCCCTCCTCAAAACTTTCGCCTCTTTACTCTTGTACAACCACGTGCCGTCCGCCAAATCTCTCAGGTTCACTATGTTCTCAGGCAGATGATCACGTTTTTTCTCGGCTGCGATGGCGGCTCTGCGTTCGGCTTCTTCCTTGTATCGTTCGACTAAATCCCGAGGCGGACTCGTTAACGCACCACCGCTAGTATCAAAAGGGTGCCATCGTTCGTGTTCGTAAGGAATCTTTGGCGACACCTCCTGCGTTAACAACTGCGACAACTTCTGCTTCTTCGTCAATTGAAGCATTTCTGATTGTTTCGGCGACGGATACTCGGTATGTCTTGCCACCGTTTCATGTACTTTATTCGAGACCTCGCACTTCTTTTCAGTCATGTCTGTGTTATTCAAACTGTAATTCGTTAAAAATATCGAAAATATTGATATGTTCGCCGTTCAACGTGCATTTTCTGCAAGTGTCGACAGACGCCGAGGAAAACGTATCTTCCACTTTTTTTATCATCCACTGTTATTTCTTTTAACTGAAAGCCAGATGACTTTTCTGTCGATCTACATCGATGTGCAATAACCAGATCCAAACTGTCAAGTGTATCGACGATGACGTATCAATCTTGGCTAACGTGTTACACGTATTTACGTAACTATGACGACAGAGAGAGAGAACCTGGAACAAGCGAGGAAGCTATGAACTTGTGAATTTTTATATGTATCGTATATATATTTACGCATATTCTTTATATCAGAGTAATATAAAGAATAACACAATGTTCGTGGATATGTATTTATACATGTTTTTTCGATCGTAATTCGATAAAAATATTCTTACACAAGTAACTGTTACATGTTCTTACGCATATTATATAAAATTCTTGTATTAAAAATATTCGCACGTATAAATATGTTTATCACATATGTATATATAATTTATGCATTTAAAAATAACTATATATATATATATATATTTTTTTTTTTTTTTTTTTNTAATCTTGAGTTTTCTCAAGTTCTTAGCAGGTTTTTGGCAAATCGTATAAAACCAACGATACTTTCGAATATACTCAAGTATGTTCTGATATCTACAACTGCATTCCTAATAAAAGTCTTTCTTGCTGGTTTGCTACCAAACCGTTAACTAGTGCGTGTTACTCTCAGTATGATTATTTCTCTTCGATACTGGTCGACGGTAAATTAAAACGTCGGCGAGAAAACGAAATTCCTTCGTTTCCTTGGTTTCGTTTCGTAAGTCCGGCATGTTGGGTAAGATCAATTCCGCTGTGAGCAGATTCCCTCGTCACAGAATCTGAGGAAGAAAACGAATAAACTGTCACCAGCAATTGTACACAGATTTATCTATTATCTATTCGATAGCAGATGTGACTCACGTTCTTTGGCAAAATTAGCGAAACTTTTCATGAGGAATTGTTTGTCCTGGGACTGCAGAAGGAGCATCTCGGACAGGATATGCAGCATTTCCTTGTTTGCATTCACTTTTGCCCGCAAACAATACACAGCAACGCTTGAAAAGAAAGATCCGTAATAAATAAATATATAACTCTACGTGTGTGTATATTCATAAAATATTTACCACATGCCGATTAAAATAGCGGCGCCAGTCGCAGGTCTCGCGAGGTCCGAGACCACGCTCCAAAATCCGCTATCTCTCTTCAACGACAACATCCCGTCGACAATGTAATCCAAGGTGTAAGTATGATTCCTGAACGGTCCGCAGTCGTTGCTCTCCACGTTCGAGATAATGTAGCCTATCGTGAGCAACACGCCGATCATGCCGAGAAACGCGAATGCCAGAAACAGCGTTTGCGTCTGCGCCGCTCGCCAAGGCTGCGACGGCCGTTGGTAACATCTCTCCAGTTCGTACTTCTTTATGTAAAATGTGACAACCATTTTCATTACAATTATAAAAGAGATCAGCGGACTGAAGTAGAAGCCCATCCAGAAGAGCGTCTGATTGTATATCAGGTTCAATGTGCCGCGAGCGATGTCGAATTCCGGCCTGCCGATCTTCGTGGAGACTCTCTTGTACAGCGCGGAGCGCGCAAACTGCAGACACGCTCCGAGCACGGAAACGATGAAGTCCAGTACGATCAGTCGATAGATCTCTCCTCCGAAGTCCGTCTGCCAGCAGTCCGACGTGCTGTTGATTATCCAGAAGGCGAAGAGGACGCCGAATATCGCCGCGGCAACCGCGTGATTTCTCATCATCGTTATGTAAAGTTCCGTGCGCTTGTTGTTGTAACGTTCCAACAATGCCTTGAAAACATTGTTTGATTTACGTTGAAATGAATTATTTGCTGCGGTGCAGATAATTACAGAAATAATTAAATATATTTGCCTATAAATGAATATGAGAGCTTGGATACTCACTAAATAGGAGATAATTGCTGGGAAGATGTGAATGATAACGGTGATGACTGTCGGTACGATCATCACCGAGACGGATCCAGACGTTCCTATGTTGTAGTGGTCCAACAGTTTCCACACGAGCGCGCCGACGCCACAGATCATAAACAGGACGACAGCTGTCACAGCGAGTTGCATTATAATTAACGAGCACTTGGCGAACCAATGCAAAGGCACACGCTGTCTCGTTTCGGCCAACAACTCCTCCAGTTCTTTGTAAATGGACGCTGACTGTACAGCGGCGGTTTTCGGCGAAGATATACTGCAGTCCCATCCGCAAAATATCTTGTTGCTGTACAAATCGTGCGCCTTTCCGCGCGTCTCGACGTAACTCTTCCTGTACGAAGATATCACTCTGAAAAGAATTGGACATTTTATCGGCGAATTACGGTTACTTGCGATTTGTATTGGTTCAGTGATTTAACTTCGTTACGTACTTGACGGAAAGTATGACAAACATAAGCGTGTAGCAGGAAAACAGCGTCAGGAAATAGGCGAACGGTATGCTATACTTGGTACCCAACGGTGTGTCTACTGTGCCATTGGAATAGAAACCATAGTACATTATTGTGCGTGAGAGAAAGCCCTGCAAACCAAGAGAGACGTTGTGATGCGCCTTATCATCTAAGATGCTGTGTGATCGTTACTGTGCTATAAAATTCTTTCTCTTACACTGCCCGTTAAAAAGTCCAGTATCTTAACACCGTCATAGTCTGGCACGTGTGTTTGGTCCAGTGATTGTGGAATCACGATGAAGGATACACTGCAATCACAAGACGTCTATTAAGGTTTTGCTTGTTTCACTCAATGCGACGATAAAGACGTTGGGGTGAGGCGTTATTGTTTTATCACAGCCGAATATCACAGTGCAGTCTGAGCTGAAGGAATACACTTACCTCAAAATGCAGGGAATTATATTGAGGAACAATAACCATCGCAGAAATTTGAAGTACGTGGCTATACCGCTTCCACTACGACTCTCAATTGCTTTAATTGTTTGATGCCACAACTTCATTGTCTGCAAAGAGTTCTGTGTTGCTGTCCGAGCCTGTGTTCGATTCATTTCTTCATTAATCAACGCTTTATACGTAACCTAAGAAAGATAACTTTCAGCAACATCAGCATTACCTTCCTAAATTTCAAGCTAATGTTATATCTCAGCAATTTCCAATAGCTAATCGGTTTTTTCCTTGTCTTTTGGTTAACAGTTGCCACTAGTTGCGACTTAACAGATCTTTTTACAGTAAGGCACTGCGGCATCGCTCTCAATGTTTCCATCCTAAAACGTTTCGATGCAGAATCATCCTGCATAAATTTACTACTGGATTGCAGGTGATTGGCAATTGCACTAGCGCATTCTTCATTAGATAAATGGGCAATATTGCGCATTCTTAATGTAGCATATGGAATAATAGAAGTTAGATCGTTCGGTATGATGTACTCTTCATTTTCATCTGTGGATGCACAATTTCTCCCTTATAGATCTGCATTAACACTTCCATAAAAATTTGAGAATTTTCAAATACTTAAAGAAATATACTTACTCGCAAATTGGACTGACAGCAACTGTTCCATATTAATGTATTCGTCAGAAGGACTTGTCTTTTGACTTATGGACGACATTTTGATGTGACTGTACAAGGTTTGTTGAAATTTTGCCCTAAAAAGAAACAATCCCTGTACAATTCTACAATGAAACATGCCCAATACACATTTTATATGTACTTAAATATACTTACTATCTGCTAAAAGATATTTCCTTGTTAGAAAGGCACAACTATTGATCAATAGTGGACATTCTCTTTGAGTGAGAAATAAGAGTAAACATCAGATATCAGATTTTTATATCACACGTGTGGTGAGAAATGATATACGACTAGATAAAACTTAATCTATACATCGATCGGATATAAACATAAACAGGAACTCGTATTGTGAATTTTGAGTTTGTACATTCCAGTATGTTCCACATATCATTCTATACAATTTAAAGTTTTGTACAATTTATATGTAAAAATAAATACCTAATTTCACACGTTATTCTATTTCTTGCTGGAATTGACATGTCGAAGGAATTTAGTATTAGTGATGACGTCGTTGATGAGTAATTCCAGTTTTAATGCGTCTAAATCTAAATATAACTTTCTCCAAATTTACAATAGCAATTACAAGGTTTAAGCAACAATAAAAATTCCCTTTGATAAATATGATAAATTTTATAATTAATTGTGTCGTTAGCACGTTGAGATAACAACTTACAATAACATGCTTCAACCGATTCTAACCTAATTTTTACTTCGTACGTTAATCTTTCGAATACAGCCTTGTTTCTGCATTACGAATATAAACGAACATATTAAGCGAAATTCTATTAAAATTACTTAAAAAAAATTTCGTCTCGCACAATACAATTATGGGAGTTCATTTGAACATACTTGGTTTACGGTTGCGTGTCTGCGCATGACGGGATACAAATTCGAAAGTTTTCGCGCCACGGACATCAATACGGCGATCGAACACTAGGCATGATTTGAATGAAATTAAGCTCTTAGGCGAATCCGACGATTTGCACCGCATAGACATTTCCGAGACGATTTTTGAGACACGAACGAATCCTTCCGCGTCTCTTCGTGTAAAATCCAAAAAAGATCAGACACGGATAAGACGTGTCAAATTAATTTTCGTAAAAAAAGATCACTCGGCAGAAATATACGCTTATTACGGAACATCATAAATTATTTGACGCGTACAGTCTCTTGCTACTTAATTAGAGAAATCTTTTTTCTCGGTTTTCAAGGATGAGATTGAAAGAATAACGAAAAGTAATAAACTGTAGCTTTATTACCATTATATTATTACGAAAGACTTAGATTAAATAAAAAATGTTCTTATAACATCATCCTTGCATTGTCTCTCGCGCTTCAGGTTAACCTGAGATACTCACGCAAAAAAATCTACGAACATCAAGAATGCTTTTTTTGTTTTTGTCATTTTCCCCTTTTCGTAACAATACATGTGGAATCCGACGATAGTTCTATCATCAATTTATCGTCACCCCATGTTTATACGGCGCTGTGGAGCGTCATTATATTCCTATTTATCGTTAGTGCACTATAATACTATTGTTTTTCTTGCGGCATGAATATATAGTGGAATATCCATGGATAAGGTTTATATTATGTAAACTGTTTACAATAGGTTCATAGCAATTTAGAATTAACACATAGCATTCAGTCAGTGCACCGCATGATTGATTTTGTCCCCTTAATCTCATAAAAAACCTGAAACCATATCACAAATTACGACACGTCGCGATGAGAGAGCAGCATCTTCGTCAGCTGCTTATTTAGGCTTATTTCATAAGCTGTTTACTCCGTGAGTAAACTACTGTGATAACTGACGTATGTCGCATCGTTCTCGCTAACTTCTCACACACTTCAGTCTTCACGACTTCCAAATAAAGTAGCTTGCGTGTTACTCACGTTTTTATCATGACGAATAAGTACAGTATGTAGCAGTGCTTCACCACATATTGTAATCGGTATCATCTTGATCGAAAGTTATGAAAAATCCGACTAGAGTTGAATACACAACAACATTGCCTGCTAATGTCAAATAACAAGCGCCCCATTTTATCTGCAGGCGGAGTTTCACATTTATCGATACGACTCGAAAATAATTCATGTGAGGGATGGTTAAATCAATAACATACCACTGGTTGATCCGCTGGAGATCGCGCCAGTACGATAGGAAGGGCGAAAGATGATACCACGAATCCCATGGTCAGAAATATCGCCAATTCCAAACATGGATTACTATTGCTGCCTGAATCATCTGTGTAGCGGCGTGCTATTATAGTTGGAATGGGCGCCAATATATAGAACAATACGACAAAAAATGGCCACCATACTCTAAAAGATACAAGGGGATCGCAGTGTGAGAGAATTGCCAGCTTCAAGTAAATTTAAGTTGCTTGTGAAGATATATACTCACTCATATCCTGGTAACGCACAGCCAAGAATGACAAATGTCATTCCAATGGAACCAGCAAATGCTAACAGTACTAATCTGTAATGATGTCATGTTTACATCACCGTTGGGTGAGAATTTCTTTTTATCATACGATAGGGAGCTGATCAGAACACTTGTTATAAATTCCAAGAAGAAATATTTTATAGTTACATGTTCACAAAAATACTTACGCTGCTCCGAGGATAAACACCGTGAAGAGGAAACGCCATGAAAAACATGAAAAACATAATTAATATATCAGGCAACATTTCATACAGCTACACTAATATGTAGTTTGGTGATGCAAGACTGGCTAGTTGCTCGGTTCGACTTTCAAATGTTTACGTAGGCAAGTCGATTGATCGTTATCCTAACGTAACAATGAACGATCGCCTCTCCATAAATGACCAAGTTTATAAGTGAAGCATAAATAATATACTACGACGCCTCGTACGAAGCTTCTCCTGTGATTTGAAGTGATTTCAGTCATCGTTCGGTGCAATTAGAAGTGATCCGTGACAAATTAATCGGCGGAATCGTTGGCCGACGCGAGAACTACGGATTATCCTTAAATTAAGTCAAATTGGGAAACTCGAGCCGCGAGAGACGCGCTCATTGAAGTGTCAAACAATGACAACCGGGGGCGGGGGATAGGTTATGTTTTGACAGACGATTTCGCGCGTCCAACGCAAAGTTCCCGCGACGATGACACTTCTCGAGAATTCGCGCAGCAGCCAGTCGCGCATTATACGATTAACAATGCGTCGAATAACCTTTAATCCCAGCCATCGCAGATCGATTTGACAAGTGTGTATATTTATTGAACTCTCACTGTACGGAGGACTACGCGTGACGTAGTCCACACAGTGCGTCGCAACGCCTTCGCTCCCGCAATCAAATATTTTCGTATGGAGCGTAACGCGTCTAGATACTCATGCATCGTGATTCAACGAGTCGCACTCGACGGCAACCACACGTGTCTCACGTTATTGGTCGATGCGAATCTTCTCGTCTCGCATCGAGCGTTGCGACAGTTACATGAAGCCTGCGTCATGCTCGGTTTATTCTTTAGTTGATCTGGTTGCGGTACACAAAATTTATATACATATTTGGTTCTTTGTAGCTGCGCTAATTCAAGAAATTTACATACACATTGAAGCGTACATAAAAGATTCTCATGTTTCAGCGCGTGTAATTTTGTTGTACTAATGCAGCCAGATCAGCTAAAAAGAATAGATCACTTGATAAATCTAGTGAGATCTAGTAACGTACTAAAAATTAACCAATCAAAACGTAGACTTATACTTACGGGTTGATATGGAGATTTTAAGGATCGTCTACAATAATTGTAAAGCGGAGTCCACAATGAGAATTTAAGTTTTAAGAAATTGAACAATCATAGTCGATTATATTCTCCTCACACTTGTGACTATGATTGGTCAATTTCTTGAGGCTTAAGGCTTAAAATATCAATTGTAGACCGACACTTAAACGACTGTGGTTGGTCAATTTGATTATTGCTTATGTCTTAAAGCAAGATTGCGAACAAGGTGTACATCTATTGTAAATCCGGGCTAATTGATGGATAGAATTCATCTCACACTACAAATGTTTCGAAGGTCCGTAACGTTATCTTTCGATGTTTCATGAATCCTTTCATTGGCTACGAAACATTTAAAGATGAACTTAAGACGGTCTTAAATACTATGAATACTGGCCCAAATGCTTGCGTTCAGCAGTAAAAGCAGCTTATCAAACGCTTCACATTTATTGCTTCTGATTGAGGCATTCTCTTGGACCTATATAAGATCTAAAAGAATACTCCAATCACGAACAGTCACGAAGCGCTTTGCAAACGGCTATTTCCGCTGATCTCAGGCGATCGCTCAGCCGCGGCCACATTGCGCGCTCCGATTGGCGAACTCTTTCTCACCCGTCCAATCAGATATCACCGACTTCGATCGGGTCGTTTTGCCGAACACCGCCATAGCGGCGTGACGCATCGCGCGACACACGGACGCACCTTTATCCTGTGACTTGCGAACGAGCAGTGCGTGTCATACAAAGTTTCTCATCGGATTGGCTGTACGGTGTATGTCGTGACTGCGTCGTCGCCAGTCTCGCGCGTGTGTGGCGGCGTATGTTGTATGTGTGTGTGTGTGTACGAGAGAGAGATATACCGGAGCGAGGCGAGATCGTGCGTCCGTCGTGTGCATCCCCCGCAACGAGAATAATCGAGTCCGACAATGAGTGACCCCAAGAGGTAAGCGAAAATCTGAAATAACTCGACGAGGCGGCGGCCTACCTACGGTGATTTTCATGGCGTCGCGTGTCCTTGCGCGGCTCGCAGTAACGCCGAGCGTGTTGATAAACGACGACGCGCGATAACAGTCGGTGTCGACTCGCTCAATTTCACGATGTCATCATGTCGACGGGACGCGTTGTTTTTGAAAGATCCGCTCGCTCGCCGACGTGTCCGATGTCGCGCGGGGAAATCCACGGGTTCTCGCGTACGACGATATCCTCCTCGCGAACTTGTCAATTCGCACTGACGCGAATATCGCGCTTATCAATTTTCCTATGCCGCCCGATCATGGCCGTGATGATGAACTAAATATGACGGAGAAGTAATTGCTAACGACACGTCAATTTCGCCGTTTTGCCTCGTGCAGGAGATCGCGCACGACTATGTCGACTTATGGCGCGTCGCAATCTCCGCACGATGCGGAAATCGCGATCCCCGGACCGATTGATATTCTCGAGAATGATAATCGCGTGTTTGTTATATGTGAAGTTACAAACATTTGTTAATCGATTGTCCCGTATCCGCTCGTAATCCGCTATCGTGCATTTGTATCTCGTAAAATCTAGAAGATTCCAGTGAGTATTGGAGTCTGTAGATATAGCTAGGCACTAGATAGTCATACTGAAAGTATATACACTTATTGTGTTATATATATATATATATATATATATATATATATATATGTTTCTTCTCATTTTCTTTCTAGAAATCATAGAGTTACAATTGTTTCACAAAGAGAAAAGATATATATTTTGTTATAAAATTTAATTAAAATTAATTTAAGAAATAAGAAATGTGTATAATACATTAATTTCTTAAAATATGTTTGATGTAAAAATTAAGCTTTTAATAAAATATCTGTTCTTTTACATATATTATGTTAGTACTTTTTATACTTTGAAATACATATATACAGAAATATACATGTGTGTATATATACTTTGACTAGTGCTAGGATCTTATTTTTTTACTGTACGTAATATATACAGTACAAAGTGTTTTTAATAAAAACTAATGTATACATATTAATGGTCACTGTGTAAATAATGAATATTTAATATTTCAGTGGTGAAGATTTGGCAACGGCTATCCTTCGCAAGAAGGACAGGCCAAACAGACTATTGGTCGATGAGGCTGTCGCTGATGACAATTCTGTGGTGGCTCTGTCTCAAGCTAAGATGGATGAATTACAGCTGTTTCGTGGAGATACTGTATTACTGAAGGGCAAGAGGCGCAAAGAGACAGTGTGCATTGTCCTTTCCGACGATAACTGTCCAGATGAAAAGATTCGCATGAATCGAGTTGTCAGGAACAATTTGCGTGTACGTCTGAGCGATGTAGTCTCTGTACAGGCGTGTCCAGAGGTCAAATACGGAAAGCGCATTCATGTGTTGCCAATGGACGATACAATTGACGGTCTCACTGGGTAAATTGAATAATATCGTCCAACTATAGATAACATTTAATGTAAATTACATTGACTTTAATGTATCTCAGAATTGCTGAGATATTTCAGGGTCAAAGTGCGTTGCTAATTTTTACAAACAACTGCATATCACTTTGCAGAAATATGTTCGAGGTGTATCTGAAGCCGTACTTCTTGGAGGCATACCGTCCTATTCATAAAGACGACAACTTTATCGTACGAGGAGGAATGCGAGCCGTGGAATTCAAAGTGGTGGAGACCGACCCCGGGCCTTTCTGTATCGTGGCACCCGACACAGTGATACACTGCGAAGGCGATCCGATTAAACGAGAGGTTAGGACAAACGCTCTTAGTATTCTCGATATCGGCATGCTGAATGAGAAATGCACTTAACGATTTTGCCGCAGGAAGAAGAAGAAGCCTTGAATGCGGTAGGTTACGACGATATCGGTGGCGTTCGTAAGCAATTAGCACAAATCAAGGAGATGGTGGAGCTTCCTCTGCGACACCCGTCTCTGTTCAAAGCGATCGGTGTGAAACCACCACGTGGCATATTACTGTACGGCCCGCCGGGAACCGGAAAAACCCTCATCGCTCGTGCTGTAGCGAACGAGACCGGCGCATTTTTCTTCCTCATAAACGGTACTTTCTTCGTAAATGCTGATTACTTTCGGGAAAATATAGATAAAGAATGCGATGACAAAATTGAAGAAACAAGAGACTATATAAGAGACTTTTCGCACAGGTCCCGAAATTATGAGCAAGCTAGCCGGTGAGTCCGAGAGCAACTTGCGGAAGGCGTTTGAGGAGGCCGAGAAAAACTCACCGGCTATTATATTTATCGACGAGCTTGATGCTATCGCGCCGAAACGCGAGAAGGTTCGTCGAGTTATCGCACGTAGTCGCGTCACTCTGAGGTCGCTTTGATATTCACCCGCACGTATTGATTTAGACGCACGGCGAGGTCGAGAGACGCATAGTGTCGCAACTATTGACGCTGATGGACGGAATGAAACAGAGTTCCCACGTAATCGTAATGGCAGCTACCAATCGACCTAACAGCATCGATGGGGCGTTGCGCCGCTTCGGACGTTTCGACAGGGAGATTGATATCGGCATACCGGACGCTACCGGTCGGCTGGAGATCCTGCGGATCCATACGAAGAACATGAAGCTCGCCGATGACGTGGAATTGGAAGAGGTGAGGTCACCGTCCGTGTCTTCATGTTGCCCCATTAAATGATAGGATTTAAACTATATTAAATCATATTAATCATTTCAATTATATAATTTGTTTGTTTTAAGTAGTTACTTGGTGAGAATACTGCGAATGAAATGTCTATGTTGCGGATGGTTTTATATTAATTACGTGATCACTGAAGAGAGTTTGAAAAAGAACCGAAGCTGTTTGATGATTATTACGATATTTAGACATTATAATTAATATTTATCACGCTCGAACAACGATTTGTTCCCGACAGCTTCTTCTCCCTTGAGCCTTTGATCATTCCGATATTTTTAGGAAATTGAATTAATTAAATAAATTGTGTGTGTCGCACGCGGAATACTATTATTTAAAAGAGTATCGCGTCGTCAGATCGCAGCGGAAACTCACGGACACGTAGGCGCCGACTTGGCATCCTTGTGTTCCGAGGCGGCTTTGCAACAGATTCGCGAAAAGATGGATCTCATCGATCTGGAGGACGACCATATAGACGCGGAAGTTCTCTCCTCGCTCGCCGTAACTATGGAGAACTTCAAGGTGAGTTGGTCCGACGATCTCGACGTGAGATATTATTTTCCATCGGATTTTCCCGCTTGAACGTTTTCTCTGTCGTCAGTACGCGATGACGAAGAGCAGCCCGAGCGCTCTGCGCGAGACGATCGTGGAGGTGCCGACGGTAACTTGGGACGATATCGGAGGCTTGCACAACGTCAAGATGGAGCTGCAAGAATTGGTGCAGGTAAGAATGAGAGTAGTGGAATCCGTGGGTTCTAAGTAGAGGTTACGATACGTTCAATGTGCTGGAAATAAAAAGACCGACCTGTTTCGTTCCTCTTTATTTCTCTTTGCATATCCCGAGAGCGGTTAAACTTTGCCATTGAATTGTGTTAACGTGTGTGTTCTTTTCCCTCGCGTTCTGTGCAGTATCCAGTGGAGCATCCGGATAAATTCCTGAAATTCGGCATGCAACCGTCAAGAGGCGTGCTGTTTTACGGCCCGCCCGGTTGCGGTAAAACACTATTGGCCAAAGCGATCGCCAACGAGTGTCAAGCGAATTTTATTTCTGTCAAGGGCCCCGAACTATTAACCATGTGGTTTGGAGAGTCGGAGGCTAACGTCAGAGACGTTTTCGACAAGGTAAGCTCTCTCGCACGCGCGTTTTCTCCTCCCATAAGCGACTACGAGCGATATCTGTGTGCGTTTGATTATTACGACGCGTCGTCTTACTTCAGGCAAGATCGGCAGCACCCTGTGTGTTGTTCTTCGACGAACTGGATTCAATCGCGAAGTCGCGAGGCGGTACCGTCGGCGACGCTGGCGGAGCGGCGGACCGCGTGATCAATCAGATACTGACGGAAATGGACGGTATGGGAGCGAAGAAGAATGTGTTCATCATAGGAGCGACCAATCGTCCCGACATCATCGATCCAGCCATTCTGCGACCCGGTAGACTAGACCAACTGATCTACATACCGCTGCCAGACGAGAAGTCCCGAGAAGCGATATTCCGCGCTAACCTCCGCAAATCGCCAGTAGCTAAGGTAACGTCCCATTAAGGCTGACAGGATGAGTTTTTGACGAATTCGTCGAAACTCGCGCTACATATAGATTTAAATACGACCTAATTATTTGAACCGGATTGACCATTCGGAAGCTGAGATTTCCGTAACTAAAAATGACTTTTTTTCTCTATGCGCATTCTTTGACGTCAATATCCTATTTTCAATGTTTATTTTTAATTTCTTCAATACCATTTAGGATTTTTTAATTTATGACAATGAATATCTAAATTAGTTAAAAAAAAAAAGAGAGAGAAACATCACGGCGTCGTGAAGAGATTTCGCACGTCAGTATTATTATTCGGTCATCTCCGAGTCGTTGCGTTATGTATATGCAGACATTTTCACTCGTGGAACGGTTGATCTTGCCTATCGCTCAAAAGGATATTTCTCTTCGCAGGATGTAGACTTAAGCTATATAGCCAAAGTCACACACGGTTTCTCCGGCGCCGATCTAACGGAGATTTGTCAGCGTGCGTGCAAGCTCGCCATTCGACAGTGCATCGAGACGGAAATTCGCAGGGAAAAGGAACGAGCAAGTAATCCATCCGCGTCCATGGACGTGAGTATCATGTGACGAGTGCTTTCATGAAAGTCATAACGACGCTGACTGGCGCTTTTGATCGCATCCCTTCCGAAGACGTCGGCGTTATCGCTGCGTCATACGCGTGACTCACTTCTAAATCAATATTCGGGGAATATCTTCGCGATAATATCGGTCAGCCGGTGATAACACCAAGACTGAGACTTCTGGGGGACCTCTTCGATATTTTGTTTTACTTTATTTGCACACATATTTTTCACGACACACCATACGAATACAAATATTTCCCGACAGCAAGAAAAGGAAGCTTCCCTACGGAGCATCGCTCGCGCAATAATAATACTCGCGGTTACCGACTATATTAACCGATGCGTGTAATTCAACTAGTCAGAGTGGAATTAAAAAAAAAATAGCAAAATTCGGGGATAAAAATGTGACTATCGAGATACATGTGTGTGTATATATATAATATATATATATATAATTATATATATATATATATTATATATAATTATATAACTATATATATATANTCCTAGATGGACGAAGATGATCCGGTACCCGAAATAACGCGAGCTCACTTCGAGGAGGCGATGAGGTTCGCGCGTCGCTCGGTGTCCGACAATGACATTCGCAAGTACGAGATGTTCGCGCAAACGCTTCAGCAGTCTCGAGGATTTGGGACTAATTTCAGGTACTGCTTTCTCTCGAACTCTGATACGCCCGCGATGATCCGGTCGTCGTCTCTTGGCGACGGTGTCGCTCGTAATATAATTACACTTAAATAAGTAGTTTCGATCAAGTTTCTCGCGCATATCAGTTCATATCATGTGTAACATCCGTGGAAACTGCTTGCAGATTTCCACAGAGCGGAGCGGGCGGTACTCAGGATACCACGCAAGGCGACCAAGCCTTTCAAGAGGATGGAGATGACGATCTTTATAGTTAAGTTCTCGTTCTCGTTTCCTTGCGTGTCATTACAGTGAGCGTACGACAAAAGGGCCTGTCTGTTACCACACCAACGTTTTGCACAGGAATTCGTCTCTAACTGGTACAAAACAACAAAAAAGTATCGAAGGCTTCAAGCAGATGGATAAGAGTATAAATGGAAATTTTATATAAGAATAACATGCAACTTTTGTGTTTGTAGAGAGGGGAGGGATTGTGAACTCTAAGGGGTTCGTATATAGTTGATAGTTATTCGAATATAAAATATCGATTGAAATTGTTGCTCCTTTTTTCCGTCATCAGGATTGTTTCTGCGTCTTCTCAACATTTCCGTTCGAAAAAAACTTAATTCTCTGAACTGCGTTTCGCCGAGAGTAGATTATCTTGCAACGAACGAAGCATAAAATATATATATATATAATTTTTTTTTTTAATTATCCAACAGAGCGAAAATTGTCTTTTACGTGCGTCTCCTGTGAGATATATGTAACGTTTGTGTCGTTTTAATAACAAGGGATATACATTCGTTATTGTGTACTGTGCGTAATGCATTCAATTTCTCGCAATTGTCGAAATCGCTAGAACCACCGTTTGTAAGCAATTACAGCCGACACAGTGGAGATGTAATTGCATCAGCGATTGGTAATTACACTCTGTAGCAAACAGATCATTACGAAGTGACGAATGCCCCCATCGCGTGCGCAGCACGTTACACAGCGACGCGCGTGACGCTCATAATTTTTCTATGCAATTCGAGCTGTCACACTGTAATAACGAGATTGCAGCTATAACGCGTGAACAATTGCATGAGCGAGCATTTTGCCGCGAGTTCGGACCGGAGTAAGACCCTTTTGTTATATTGTCACTGTATTCACTGAGAAAATACAATTTTGTTGTTCACACTCGCAGATTGCAGTAATATAAAAGTTTACGTCGGTGAGACTGCCGCAACCGATGATGTGTGTCGACGATTTTACAAAATGTCCCTTAAAGTAGTAAATTAACCGATATACGACCAACACGAGCCTGTCTGAATCTCGTTATTCGACGCGGATATCTATCCGAATCACGCAACGATCCGTTCGCAGTTTTATATACTTGGGGATATATAGGACATATAAAGGGTAAACTGAATAAGAGTATAGAATGTAACGATGCGTATAGTAAAAAAAAGAAAAAGAAAAAAAAAGAAAACTAGATACTTGGAACAACGACTGTTGCGAAGACGACTGTTTAATGGCGAAAAGGAATGGAAGTTGAATCGCCTTGCCGCGATTATTATTCTGCACATACATAATTAACAGATCGCAATGATGGACGAGTTTCTTCGCGTGGTCTTCGTTGTTCGAGTTGTTCTGCAAGTGGCACTTATAACTTGTTGCACGGTTGCAAACTCACCGATAGGAGGCTGGACGCGATAACCGTATGAATTCTAAACTCCGAGCGGCTGTTTACGTGACGACTGATATCTACATTGCCTTGTATTCGCATATGAGCTGTCTTAAAATGCGAATTATTATTATACACACGTCCTAAAGCCTGGAACACAACAATACGTTGTATGTATGCACATCGTTCCGGGCCTAATAATGAGATATAAGAATCGGCCAACAAAATTAAGTGTCCCTTTGCGTATTGACGCCACTTGTTTGACACATTTGATGTATCATTTCGGATACAAGCGTTTTCTTCCAATTTTTCGTCCGACATCCTAATGTTTCCCCGATCAAGATCACAATCGTGGCGAGTCTATCCTCGGGAACAACAGAAGGAACGTTTTTATTAATGTGTTTGCGATATTCGTTAAGGGCGTTTCGTTTTACATGAGAAGCAATTTTTACGGATTCTCAGACGCGACACGTTTCTTCGCGAGCCTAATGATCTTGTTAAAGTCGTTGACACTTCTAAAAGCTAAATGCACTTTATCGGGCTAAGTATCTCTTTATTAGGTAAAGGTCTAAATCTGTCAGAAATGGAATCCACACACGGCATCGTGAAGAAAGTCTGTGGCGTCTCGGCGGTTTCTGTTGTTTGCTAAGAAGCTAGGAAGAGGTTTTGTTGTTAGGTATATTTTTAAAGAAAACGCTGAGTCTCTTCTTTAAGATTGAGAGATTGAGATTAGAACTACGGTAAGGTTCTTATCTGCCATTCCTTTTCGTTAGGATAAAAAGAAACGTTCGTCCGATTTCCTCGCGAGATGAGAAAGTTCTTTGATAGATTTATTTACGCATTAGTCATACGCAATTGATATGCCATTTGACACAAGCTCCGACAACGGGATCCTTGAAAGACGTCAAACGAAATTCAGTGAGTTTGTGTACACGTTGTTCCATTACTCAGCGATACTCCAATTCCTTCACGGTGATTCGGTATATAGAAAAGATAATTGGAGAAAAAGGATACGCACGTTTTTAAATAATGTATGGAAAATCTCACGTATATATCCTTGATTCGCTACAATCTCGTATTGTTTTAATTTTTGCCTCACGTATTTTTAGTCGAGATATCGAGTCGCGCGCACAACAGGAATGTTAATCCAAATGCGAAGAAACAGGCCCGGCGAGGAAGATGAAAATTCGTTCATTTTTCATTCGGAAACTTGGTAGCGATTGTATGGATATTTTTTTCGTGCTTCGACGCGATTCACGGCAGCGTAAAATATGACAAGTTTCCAGATGAATATCGAGAGAAAGAGAGATAGAGATAGATGGAGCGAGATGTGATAGCGCAATTTTTTCAAATGAAAGAAGGCATGATCGATTTATAAAAAATCGTCAGCAGGTTTATTAAATACAAATAAAGATGGGATGTTGAACCAATCGTAGATGTGGAAGGACTCGTAGGTATTCCCTTCCGTTTTGCGGTTCAGCACAATCACGTGTATTAATATAGGAAACTTCATACGCAACGACGTCAAAACTCAAACCTCAGCACGTTTCATTTTTTTTTATGTACATTTGGTTATTGACGCTTTTTTTTTACCTTTATTTATCTTTATAAAAGTATAGGACTATTTACCAAATAAAACTCGTTAGTATAAAACCGCCTGAACGACACATCACACACGGGTCTATACGGTACTTGACATCACGCCGACCGCGCCGAATATCTCAGTTCGGAAAGAAACTTCCTATTTGTAATCGGAGATACTATATAAGATCCGTTAAATTACACGATACGCTACAGAGTCACGACAAAACTCAGCAGCTGTGTGTGCTCCACTTAACCGTATTACTAGTACATGATAAAACGCGTTTTTCTCGCCAGCGCCGGTGTTGTCTTATATACTCCGGGTAAATTGGCACCGATCTAATGGAAAATATTTCGTACACAATCAAGCTCGAGTAAATAAAACGCAAATATATATATATATATATATATATATATGTATGTATGTATGTATAAGATCGAAGGTTCTGTTCCTAGTCAGTTAATTAGTTATTTTATACAAATTACATGTCATGACAACTTTCGATAATCAATTCGAAGAAAAGAGTTCAAAGAGAAAGAGAGAAAGAGAGACAGACTTATTGCACATTTTGTGAAATATATACGATTGCGTAATGTTTAATTATAATGTTCGCGCTTGGTACAAAGCATAAAATACAGCATACGATGTTCGTTCACGGTAACAAGATATAAAATTTGCATGGAATTCAAAATTCGGTACGTACGCTTGGCGTTCGGGAAAAATCATCTCGTTAACACCGCGTTGACAGCGCGATAACGTAAGCAGAACTTTGTTGCGAATTCTTCGAAGGAAATGGAATGAAATCCTCTTTTTGTTTCGCGCTTTCAAGCCACACACCTCGCACGCAGCAAACGAGAATAACACATACACACACACGTGTCTCCGAAATCGTTTGTCGTTGCTTCACCGTCTCATTGTTGTCACGCGAAAATTCAAACGATACTTTCGGATACTAAATGCCCAACGAACAAAGTAACATTGCGAGACGAGTGTCTTCTTTTTTTCTCTTTTGTTTTTGGCAAAGTCGTACGACCCGGATCGTGCCTGAATCTCTTCCACACACACACACACACACACGAGAAACAAAACGTACGTTCGACGATCTTACATTTTATACAGAAGAAATACACAACTGAAGCTACCGCTACCGGTATTCTCACCTACACACCGTACTCATAAATGTTATAATGTTTTTTTTTTATATCCAATAAAAGAACATGAGCTTCCCTTGTTGAACACAGAAGACAAAGATTCAGTCGATAAAAATATAGTAATCCAACGAAATAACCATGAAGTGTAATAATAATACGCTGCGTTTCCTCAGCTCGAACGTACGATGATATTATTTAAATATCTCGCGAGGAGAACCATTCGGCCGTTTCTCGCGGATGCCAATGTGAACGACGGAAAGCATGGGAGGGGAGCGGGGGGGGGGGGGNGGTTCTCATTTTCACCGGTGTCGATTTTCAGGCACGCATACGCACGCACACATTTCACTCTCACAAACGCAGCGGACATAACGTACAGTTTACACCCGGCGAATGAGGCGGCGGATTTATTTACAATGTTATCTCGCGTCAGAACATGGATATGTCGGCCTGCGAATGTTCCTCCCTCGCCGATCGTTTTATCGGCGCCCTCGGCAAGCCCTCGAGTCTTTAAACGGGACGTGGTCGCTTACGTCGGCTTCTCCCGACGCTCAGATAATATATATATCCTTGTACTTTCTAATTTTGTTCCTTCTTATACACTTAAAGAAGTGTCGTGCCGGTCTGTTAAAAGTAATCTTTTTGGCGAAATTCGTGCACACAACCGGTTATTCATAACTCGCACAAGACGCTCGAGACAAATGCAGGTCTCGCCATGCGCTCGTCGACAACGACAGCGCGGAAAGCGACTAATCTCACATTCATTATCTCTGGTCCGGAATTTTTCTAAGTTACTCGCGAATTCCGCTACGGTTTCCCGCGATCGTTCCGAGCACGATAACCTTGCAATTAAGAGACACGGCAGGTAACTTCGCTACCTAATTTGTCCGTTAAAAATTCGCCTCGCTCCTACCGCAAGTAAAACGAAGTTCTCCTATCGCGAAAGCCCCGGAAAATGTCCGTTCATTCGCGCTCTTATCCGCCATTGGATTACTATATCTTTTCGGAAGCTGCATTCGCAGATGCTGTCTAATGAACGAACAAAATCCCGATACCGCCGTTCTCATTCAGCCAGCTTCGAGGCGATACGATCGAGGGTGCCGCTCGGAGATGCTTCTTCTTTGTCTCCGGAACGGCGTCGCGACCGCCGCCGTGCGTGAAGAAAGCCGATTTTTCCTCCGCTTGACGGACGATGGTCCTTCCACCCGAACACCTCGCTCGGATCCTCAACGACACTGTCGGCGAGGTCCGGACCTCTCGGTTCCGTTCCAGCCAAACACTCGGAGGGAGCAGCGGGGTTCGGTGTTATCCGTGTGTAATACTGGACGTCCTCTGGTCTCTCTGTGCTCCCTTTCGCTCGCGTCGCCGAGATCGTTGACCCCTCGCTTCCGTTTCTTTCTTTTTTTTGTCGGTTTCGTTTTCTTAATCCACGCCACCTTGAACTTTTGATATGCCTTAAAATCGCGCCTCACGCTCAGTCTGCCCTTTGCGTGACGGGTGGAAACTCAGAATCGTCATCCAGACGGAACGGGCCGCCGCCTTTCGGTGGGCTTTCTGTCGCCGCTATCATCTCCTGATACTTCTCTGATTCTATAAACCCATTTACATTTAGATTATCAGGTCCGGCTCCGGTCACATTTCAAGCGGATGTAACGATAAAGATGTGTTATACAGACAAGATCAGCGCTCAATGACATATATTTGATGCATTCAGATATATACACACATGTATATGTGTATATATATATATATATATATACACACACACACACACACACACACACACACACACACACACACACACACACACACACACACACACACACACACACACACACACACACACACACACACACACACACACACACACACACACACACACACACACACACACACACACACACACACACACACACACACACACACACACACACACACACACACACACACACACACACACACACACACACACACACACACACACACACACACACACACACACACACACACACACACACACACACACACACACACACACACACACACACACACACACACACACACACACACACACACACACACACACACACACACACACACACACACACACACACACACACACACACACACACACACACACACACACACACACACACACACACACACACACACACACACACACACACACACACACACACACACACACACACACACACACACACACACACACACACACACACACACACACACACACACACACACACACACACACACACACACACACACACACACACACACACACACACACACACACACACACACACACACACACACACACACACACACACACACACACACACACACACACACACACACACACACACACACACACACACACACACACACACACACACACACACACACACACACACACACACACACACACACACACACACACACACACACACACACACACACACACACACACACACACACACACACACACACACACACACACACACACACACACACACACACACACACACACACACACACACACACACACACACACACACACACACACACACACACACACACACACATACACGCATATACGTGTGAGCTAGAGAGAGAAAGAGATCGTGATTTCATTATCGTGGAGTCTACGTCGAGCGCACGTGAATTTTTCACAATGGAACAAAATAAGTCCAAGACTGGAGAATTTCTAGGACTCGACACAAGGTGCTCCGCGAAAACACGAATGATATGTGGCACAGTGCTGCTGCTTCTTCGTCTCTTTTTGATCTTATCTGAGTGCAAATGACAAATATCTCATTGACCGTCGCCTTTACGTCGCATTGCATATGTGAGATACATCCACTAATGAATTCGTTAGTGATATGAAAGAGCGGTCCTCTCTGGGGAAAATGAGAATTTGAGCACACGCACGGTTTCCTATTACATATATAAATATATATATATACATATCTATTATTGTCGTGCGTGATAAAATAATCTGAGAAATCGGTCAGAAAACAACTCATCAAATGTTCCGAATGATATGTGTATGTGCGTGTATGTATGTGCGTGTGACACGATATTATTCATTTTGTGTAAAAAGCATACTCGTCATGTAGTTTTCTAAAAACATGTTCAGCAGTATAAATACAAAGATATAAAAATAGTGTAGAAAATATCAAGTTCACTAGATTAGACAGCAGAACTGCGTGGTACTACTTTTTACTATTCTAACGGATATTTTATATCCCCGATATTTTATACTTCACTCTGTGCTCGATTGTGTTACTTTTTATTATACATATATATATTACGTTGATATGTAATGAAATACAAAATATATATATATATAGCAAGAAATAATACAGTCGAGTGCAGAGCAAAAAATAGGTCAATTTATGTACACATAGAGGAAAAGATCTTTCCACGGGATCTAAATTCTCATTCAATGTTTTACGTTTAATACATAGAGACGGTACCGCTAATAACGAAAGTATGTCATACAGATACTCGTAAAAAAAAAAAAAAAAAAAGAAAAATCTATGAGTAAAATGGCTGTCAAAAGTATCTCTATCACCTACCGCCAGGAATGATGATGCTAATATCGTCCCAAAAATTTGTATTAACAGGCTCGATTAATAACAACTTGGTTAGTAATTATTGTATGTACAATTGTGTTATATACAACGTTTCGTCAGAATTATTATTAATGTAACGGGAGTGTTTGCGAAGGAGTCCTCTTAGAGGCGGACTGCTCCTTGCAACTCGGCGCGAAACCCTTAACACTTAAATGGGATGACGCTGAACAATTATGTTATGGCCGGATCAGATCAATGAACGATTCGCGAATGTGCATGGTGGTTCATCGCGGAGAAACCGTCTCTGGTGCCTACATGCATATCGTGTGCAGTTGCTGCGTTTTGATCGTATATACGAGATCTGATCCGGGAAGTGTCCGACCTACGGGAGAGAAGAGAAAGCTCGCCTTTCGAGTTGGGGTTGCTCTTGACATAGGAGGGACAAACCATCGCCAGAACAAATGGGCAAAGTCGGCAGAAATCTACATTGAAAGAGATCATGGAAAGCAGTGAGACTTCGGTAGTAAAGAAGTTGACTAATCAATCAGTGCATTTCTTTAGGTTTATGTATCCCAAAGAGAGACAATAAGTTTAATCTTAAGCGGAAGAACTAGTTGAAATCTTAGTTACTTCTATTTTAAGTCAAAATTATCGTCTCTCGGAATGCATAAGCCTAAAGAAACATATCGATTGGTTGGTCAATTTCCTTATCGTTTTTCTACATCCCATTAGCTTCAGGGTCTCGACTCAGGAAAGGTGAGCTTGTTTTTCGCTTCCAACTATAAGTCGGACACTCTTGGATCAGACCTCGCATACTTATATGTACACATCGAATGAATATATACATCATCCTTAAAGACTCGTTCAGTCTGCGGTTAATAAGCGTAACAGATTCTTTATACCACTGCCCGCATAACACGAGAGTGTAACATTAAATATGGTGAGTCGACTGTTACATTAACGGGGCACGCGTGAGAAAAGGCACATTGTTACACAGCGTTGCTCTCATTCTTTCCGTGATATGCTGTTGCGTGCTCATTGCAGAGAATGCGAGCGCTTTAAAGTGAGGCAGAAAGAGAGAAAAGCTCTGAAAGGAGAATCTCGAGTGTTTCTTTCCTTCTTTTCCTTTTTTTTTTCCTTTCGGTGTGCGCAGAATGAGAGCGAAAAAAAAAGTAAAAGTTGAGGGACAGAATAGAGGACATACCAGTACCTGACATGGAGTCTGGCGAGCGGCCACGCAACGCACCCGCGTAGCTATTTATGCAGGCTTCGGTGGATATTAAAAAGAAAAAAATTACATCAAGTAAGGTCAACTCTATCGGGGCCCCCCTCCCTTCAGCCCCTGAAGAAAATGCCTGGCTATATCATTTGTTCAAGGGGGGCTGGAAGCGAGAAAAAGAAGACACGAAGCAAATCATAAAAGTAAAAGGCGGTCCGAAACGCGCGCGCACGCACACACACACGCACACACACACACGCGTGGTACGTAGCCATTGATACAAGCGTTTCAATTTTGAGAGACACACTACGGTGGCAGGATGTCTCTTTGTACTGTACGAGCAGTGGTTTCAACGCATTCCGTGTGATACGCAAGCCATCGTTAAAGTTTACTGCATTGAAACAGACGGGGACATAACTTTCGCCGTCGATATCTCGCAATTATCTATCTCTTGACGCTACTGATTCTCGGTGAATTTGCTAGCGACAGATCACTGTTGATCAAAGTACAAAAAAAAAAGAAGAGGAATTAGCGGTAACGACCGAGAGATAAAAAGAAAAGAGATTTTGTTTCTGCACAATCTACAATCTTCCCGATGTATCGTGTGTGCGTATCGACCACGTTTATCCGCTGTTTAAATTTCGATATCGACTGCATTCGGTTTCACCAAAAACGCCAATACCAACTGTGTGTGTGTGAATTGCCTTAAACAGAGAAGATAATCTATTCTGTTAGTACTCGAGCAATTGTGAAACTCGTTACGTATATCGCAAGACCGCAACTTTAGGTAAAGTAGATAAAAGAAAATTCTATACACACTCAAGCATTCTGTACCGAATACAAGAGAGAAAAACAGAGAGAGAGAGAGAGAGAGAGAGAGAGAGAGAGAGAGAGAGAGAGAGAGAGAGGGAGGGAAGTTTTGTATTAGTATATGTATGCTAAACTAACTGTCGGTAAATGTATCTTTATCGTCAACTCGCTTCGGCTAATTAATGTGTTCTAAAAGAGCATCATCATCATACCTGTATTTTGTACTGTTTGTGCAGATGTTCCGGAACCACCACAATCCGTCTCGTCTTGCTTATCATCTAATCTGTAAAAACAACAAATGAACGCGTTACACAGTTTTTCTATCTTTGTGACAAAACGCACGATGTTCATCGCGTAAAGGTTAAAAACACAAGATCCATTCATTTCACCGTTATCCCGGTGTACAAACTCGTTTTAATCCACGAGCATGAGAGTCAACGATCAGCTACTGTAACGGAACTTTGCGACGCGTAAAATAGCCATTATGTAACGTGAGAATGAAGTGATGCGTTATACCAATTTTTACGTAAGACCGAACACGTTAGCGTGACAAGTGGTTCGAGAGAATGCTAAAGAAGGTTATTCCGGACTCACCGGATGGTATTAAGTGTATTCACGACGCGATTGCAGACAAACTGATCGAACTGCGCACAAGTCGCGATAAATTATTACTTGAGTATTGTCCGCAAGAGCAAAGGTCGATCTCGCGGGAAGTACAGCCGATAATTACAAACCTATGCTGTTTTAGAAGTGTGCAACCTCCGGTTTCCGTCAAGTCCAAGTTGTAGACATACAAGTAACCGTCGGCACTAGCTACCAATAGTTTTGGTATTTTGTGTGTTCTAAAAGTGAAGAGGTTGCCGATGAGTCGTACAGATTAGACAATAAATAGGTCTCGTACCACCCTAACAGTCATGAAATTATTAAATAGTCGACAACGGATCAATGAACAACCGAATCTTCGAGCACTCACACGGTGATGGCACAAACATTTTTCAGCCCTTGAAACGGTAGGTGGACACTAGCAAAAGCACGTCCTTGAGTAAAAACATCAGTCACTTGCGACGGCAGGTAATTCGCCGACGCTGTCACAGCCTTCGTCAAATAGCCCATCCAGCTTTGTGCTTCGTCCGTAGTTTGCCCCGGCCTGTCACAATACAACGTAACATTTCAACGTCACCAAATGTACATCGTGAATGACGATCTTACGACTACGACACGCACGTTTCCTTTGGTTCCTCCAATTTGAATATATGCACTGTTTCCGTATTGCTGGAACAACAAAGCCACATAGAATCGCTGCTAAAAGAGAGACTGCTTATCGTGACGCATCTCTTAACTCCGCGGCGGAATTCGAATAATTTTGTACCCTCGTGAACCTGGTGGTAAGAAAGAACAGGAAGAATGATCTCTGCTGAGAGTTTGGATTACGATCAAAGACACGCTTATACAGTTGTATCTATAATTCGTCTTACGTCAAACACTCGGATCACAGTGCCCTTTTCAGAGGCCGTCGCGACTTTGGTACCGGTGGAGCTGAAAGCGAGCGCTGCCAGTGGACTATCGTGTGCCGGTATCATTGTCTTGGCTTGCTAAATGTGTGAGAAAAACGTGCGTGATCGCTGAATACCGACTTCCAACACGTCAGAGAGTCTCATTTAATTAACTTGTATGTAGAAATTAAACGGCCAATAGGAGCCGAAGTACAGCGTTGTTTCAGTCCTCCCACAGAATATTAACAACGGTAATATTACTATTAAATACATAGCATTAAAACAACTGTACTTCGGCTTCTATATTGGCTATTTAATTTCTATATGTCGTTTCCTCGGAGCCATAATATTAAAAAATTTCATCAACGCGTATCTGGTAGAAATACGTACGAGATGGATCGCGTCAAATATTTGAACTTCCCCGATGGTATTCGAGCCGGGATAAGCTAGATAACAATTGTCGCTACATATCGAAAGTGTACAAAGGCCTGACAGATTAGGTGGAGTGTCACGAATTGTGTGCAGCACTCTCATGTCCCGTATATTGTGAATGTACAATGATTCTTCCAGACATACCACCAATCTCTGAAACAGAAACGGTATTTGGCCTCTTAACTACTGTGGAAAAGGTCAAACAAAATAATATCAGAGCTTATTTGCACCTTAGTAAGATTATCACGCTACATGGCATTCAAAGATCCACGTGGACGCGAGGATTCTTGCGAACTTGTGTAATTTTACTCCCGATTAGCTCGCTTGTGTACAAATATCGATCAACTTACCGCTCTGTTGAGTTTCACAGCCAAAATGGTATTCGAGTAACTGTAGTTGCATATCTCCGTGCCTTTCCTGAAGTGGCATACTGTGAGCGTACGGGGAGATGAAAGACTAACGACCGCCACCAAACTGCTGCTGAACAATCGCTCGACAATGCAAATATCCTCAGTATCTACACCGGAATAGAAAGAAAGGGGAAAGAGAATATATAGATCGACGCAGGGGCTTTTACTTTCTAGCCAAATACGAAACAAATATACATGCGCCTTTACTCTATATTGACAATATCGATAAGTCTGACAAGCGATTTAATCTTGATCTCCACTGCTACTCCGCTATTGCATAAGCAGTTATCTCTAGTTTCCTAGAACCATCAGCGCTGGAGTACAAAAGACCAAGTTACCATTCTCGTATATCTTCTCAAGATGTCCGGCAGAACTGATGGAAAAGAGCTTGTATCCAGACTTCGATCCCACTGCCAGAGACCTGCAAGTTCATGAGACATCCCATGTTAAAGAACGGAAATCGGGGGGGGGGGGGGGT